CACAAAATGTTTTACAGAGGTATCAATAATGAACACACATGAAACAAATAAAACACAAAAACCATACAAAAGCCTGAACAGATGAGTTTTAAGCTCCTATAGAGTCAGGGGTGAGAAGAATGGATGGTAAGCCGGTTTGGACTGTACAGTAGCCTCAGTTTTTAGACGGGTAAGTGCAATCACAAGAAGGGCTCTGAGCATAAATGAAGATATTAGAAGAATTAAGAAACAAAACAAAATAAAAGACAAATATTATTTTATAGATTAAACTAAACTGAAAAAATAAACGTCACAAAACCCAGATTCAAATGCATCATGTTCAGCATGCAGACCTTTATGGTAATGCATGTGTCCAACTTCTTCTTGGCAAATGCATTAACTGAGACAGACTGATGGTGTGAAGCCAAAGCGTGCTGGAGGTCCTGTGGGTAGCACAGAACTAACTGGCCCAGCCCTATTGTCAGGCACAGCCTAATGAAAATAAAGTTTCTCAAATATATTCTGCCATTTTCTTTTCCAATTATGTTACAGGAGCCAAAGGTTTTCCATATGAAAAACATTTCCAGGATCAGACTGAGTCCTTTAAGTGTTTTGGTGGAGAATATGATATTAAATTGCCCAAGTCTAATTTTTTAAGTAGCTGTTCATAATTGCAAATGAAAAAATATGCTAACACGTGACCTGGTCTTTTTCTTTCAAGGCTGGATCGGCCAACAGAAAAATCTTAATATTACCTACCCAGCCTAACATCAGCACAGCCACTTTTTGAGTGATGAGTCTCCTACAGGAACCAACAGCTGTATGTGCAAATCATGCATATAAATCAATTACCGGGGCCCTATGTACTTTAAATGCACCCATTAATTAAGCAATGTCAGACACAATGAACCGTGAAGTTCATTACATTTTTAGCATTCAAACCCAGGATTATTTGAAGAGTGCATGAGAGAGAGGGAGACGGGTTTACCTAATGATTAGCCCCATAGCTCAATGTCGGGCAGACGCCAGCGGAAATTTCAGGAAAGCTGTTGCAAGAGGAGACAGAACAGCAGTGAGCTGTCTCAGCAATCTACAAAACATGAAAGGGTTGATCAAAAGGAAGCCGGGAACAACAACAACAACAACTATGAGCTGTGCCCACTTTTTAAACTTTCAGCTCCAAAGAGCTTGATGCAACCGCTTAAACAACAATAGATCATCCAGTAGACGGTCAAGCTGCTGGATTGGAAAGAGACATACTTTACAGCCTCTTTTCCATTTTCTGAAGCTGTGCAAGCATCGCTCTGCACAAATGAAACACGCGACATACAGCAGCAGTCGCTTTAGAAAGTATTCATATACCTTAACTTTTGTTTTTAAAGAGTAAAACTGATATTTTTACTTACAGGTGCACCCAAGAAACTATAATGATGCTAAAAATGATTCAAAATCTCTTAGTTTCCATACTTAGAAGCCCATTTGGTAACAAACACAGTCCTGCTGATGTGATAGTGTAACGTATCAGCCAGATGATAATCACCAGATCGAGTTTTGAACAAAATTTCTGACTGATCAAATATGCTGTCGGGTTTATTCACATGTGGTTTGGCAAACTACATGCAGACATATCAGGATAATTTATACACACACAGTAAATCATGCAATTGTGTTAAACTGAAGTACTTCATAGAAGCAGCAGAGTTGTCTTAATCAGGAAATTGAACAACACAAGGTTTCCTTTTAGGTTTCCTTATAGCTACGGAGACATCCAGGTGTCATGTACCTGTAGCGTTTGTGAGTACCTTGCGTGCATTTGTGTGTTTTTTATAAACTGTGTTGCCAGGCTGTAGTTTGGTTCAAGTTGCTATGAGATGACAGCAGAAATGGTGGTAGTGGTGGTGGTGGGGGGGAGCTCATAGAGAAGAATCTGGGCCCAGCTGCCTGGCATTAAGCAATGACCTCTGCATAATGAAAGATGGCAACAACATTTCCCACTCATTACAAGGTTCCACACTGTGACAAGATTTGCATATTCATATATTTTTCCCTTCACCACCCCACCTCTCCCCCCTTCTTTTTTTTTTCTTTCCCCCCCACTGCAAATTATTTTTCCTGTGAGCAGGACATCTGCCTCCCCGACACTGCTCTGGAAGAGGAAAAATAAATAAATATGTGTGTGTAGAGAGGCACATGATCTATCCAGATGCCACAGAAATATGGCACGATGTTGACATCGTCACATACCCCGACCGTGTGGATTTTCCACAGCTTAAGCACCAGGGAATCCTTTTCGGGGTCAGCGGAGAAGAATACAGCCTGAGCATAAAAACCTGACAGAGGTCTGGAGTGTATATCTGTTTTGCATAATATTGTTCTTCCACAGTGGCACGAATGCTGCCATCGCACTGGTGTTGAGGTTTTACGGAGACCCTACTAAATTCATTTGACAAGAGGATCAGCGGACTTGCTGCTGAAGCTAGATCGCTATGCCTTGTATCTGATTTGGCACAATCTAAAGCGGAGGGATGCTTTCTTTAAATATAATACATGAAATAATAGATAAAATAATGTAGCACACTTTCTGACTCTAATGGTGCACACTCTATAAAAAAAGTTTGGGATTTTAAGAAGTGTGTGCCAAGCAGTGCAGAGAAATACAAGATTTGGATTAACACTCGATCACCCTCTATGGTCTCAGACCTTCTTAAGGTCCCAAAGCAACAAGCTCTTCCACTCTTTACAAGACATAATACAATTTCAATATCAAACAAAGCGATGCCATAAATGGGGTTGTGCAAATAGAGAATCCAGGCGTGTATGCCAAAGACTAAAGGTAGAAAATTCCTCATCAAAAGAAATGCTCGGTTGCCTTAAAAACAGGTTTGAAAAGAAGAAAAAAAAGTAGGAATTTGAATCCCTTTTATTTAGTTGAGCAACTTTAATTCAAATGAATCAGGCTGAGCTGCACCCGCCAACCCTGCCCGAAGAGTTGCCGATCTCAACGTGCAGCATAACGATCACGGCAGCACTTCTGAATACAAACTGTTTTATGTGAATACCTCAAGCTGAGGGCTACATAAATATAGAATTAGACAAAGTGTTATTTTTTCTTTTTATGTTTTATTTTCCCCCCTCTGTTCTCACTCTCCAGCAACATCCCCAGGTTGGGTTGGCTGCAAGCAGATGCAGGCACTTACTTCAAAAAGTTGCTGCTCCCTTATGATAGCACTGCAAAAAGGTTTTCTTTTAACTTAAATCAGCAAATGTGTGTAGCAGAGACCTAGCGGCGTGTTTCTCTCCCCTCAGAAATAATTGCTCCCAGGGATCAATTTGAAATTTAAATCGCTGTGAAACGGTGTTTGTCATTAGCAATCAAATATTTGAACCGCTGAAATACCTTTGCCCCCTCCGTTTCTGCACCCTCTGCCCCTAGTTGGGAAAAGAAAATACTGCACGGGGCTTTGTTTTGATGATTGCGAACAGAAAAAGGTGATGAAGCTCCCAGAGAACATCACACGAAAGAGAAAGCAGGAGGAGAAAGAAGAGCCATTCATCAAATTTTCTCTATTTATATATGAAAAAAGAGAAAAACGTGCCAAAGCAAACGAGAAAACAGGTGAAATGTGTCCATCATTTAGCTGCGATGACCTCAGACCAAGGTCATGTCACATATATACTATAGAACAAAGTAAGACACTGAGTAGTTCCGTGAAATGACGCAGGCAGCAAGGTAAGAAAATTAGAGAAAGAGCTTCCTGTCATCTCTGAAAAACAGCGTCTCTGTTTAATGTTCATTTCAGGGCTGATTGAATTGGTGGGTGTAGCACTGTCACCGTTAATGGAGCGATCTCTAATTAGCTCTGTAGGTTCTGGCTAGTGTCAAAGGCAGACAGAAGGGCAAGGTGCAACACTACTCTGACACATCCTGCGAGTGCTGGAGGTACACTGTGATAAACAAATAGCTGACATTTGCATAAATTACAGATAACCTATCAACAAGTATGCCGATGTCTTCTAACTTCATTTTCTGTATTAAAAATGGACTTATGAGCCTTAAAGTGCTTTCATTCTTTTCTCTCTTTTATAGGGATTGAGAGGCCTCTTAAATGTGTGTGTGTCCATACCCACTGTGCACCGGGCCATAGGGGCAGGGCTGTGATGGTTTAAACATGGAGGTGAGGAGCAACTTCAAGGCCAAAGTAAGGTGTGTTCGCGATAATGATGGGCCGCAAACGGGCGCTATCGCCATTCAGCAAGACCCAGAAGTTGATCTATAATGGCTGCCCATAAAGGAGAATCATCATCAATGAAAATGACAGGTTATTAAGATCCGATTTTAGGGGGGTGGCAGGGGGTGCTATGGCTTTAGTATGATAGGTTAGCTATCTATAAAACCTTTAAAGCCTGGCCCTCAATGACAGCAGTCCCGATCCTCATCTCCCTCCACCCTGTGCAGAGACACATGCTAATAAGCTCACAACCTTTAATTAAGCAATATGTGTAAGTAGGCGGCCATTACAGTCTGATTTGTGAGCCACTTCATTACACTAAGCACCGGCTAGCAGACACATATTCAATACAAATCAAGCTGGCCTGAATATTATCCTGCTTAATGTGGGGCCAATATTGATATTTTATCACTCGTGTTCTGATTAGTGACTTTAAGAATCTTCATATTTCATTGTGTTGAGGCAGTCCCCAGCACTTAACAACCTGTATCCATTAGAAGTGGTGGTGAAGTATTTATTTGCTTTATTAGGTCACAGATGGCTTATCAGTTCACATACAGCATTTATGTTTACTTGCACAGGGTCTCAAGAGGGAAAAGTACAGTGCATTTCTCACTGTAATTCTTTGAAGTACTACACAAATACACAGAACAGGGGGATGTTTTTTGTAACTACTAAAAAACAAACAGGTGATGAGAGCTGTTGTCAGGAACTGTGCTGTTGGGAGATTAATAAATGCTGATTTTAACACAAAGAGCAGGAAAAGTAACATTCAGAATGCATAATTTCTGCAGTGCATTGCTAAATGATCAATAAGAGGACTCAGTGTTTATTCTCTCTTCCATCTGGTGTCATTGATTGAGGTCTTGTAGTGCAAAACTGGAGTCACACCTGTTTCCTCCTACTGGCTCAACACGATGGGACCCTAAGGGCAATGAAACGACTGATAAAACTGTGTCAATAACAGGTAGGTTTGCACAAGCAAGAGAGTCAAACGTGTGTGAGGTGAGGTGACTGGGACTACTGAATGTGCTCTAGTTGCGTGCTCTCAGTATGACGAGTTAACTGTGAAAAACATATTTTTGTTACAGTGATAGAAATAACAGAGAGAGACACTCACGCCAGAATCGTTTCTTTCGTTTCCGTAGCTGGAGAGCGTCGCCTCCTTTGTCCTCCCTCTGTTTGTCAGAGCTCTGAGCCGGGCAGGGCACCGTGCTGGATGCGTTGTCGAGGCCTTCTATGTCACCCATCACCTTCAGAAAAAGAAAAAAAACCCACCCAAAGCATGCTTAAATCAGCCAGGTAGCATAAACAAGAAAAGGTAACAAAAAAGAAATGAACAGCACAACAATGATAAACCCGACTGTTTCAGGAGCCCCCGCGGCCTGTAAACGTATGAAGCGTCACAAAGTGCAGGTTGAACTTGGGTGACAGTGACTGAGATTGGCAGAAGAACTGTGATTTTCCTCGAGGCCTGCGAATAGTGTTGTCATGCACAGTCTCTTCCTCTGTCCCCGTGCTTAGAGTGAAGTTGGAGGAGAAGCAGAAATGGAGACTTTATATGACACACTACCTCTCGTCCCAGAGGGGAAACGGCTCTCACAACTCTGGGTTGGCCTACTTATATACAGTGATAGGAAATATAACTTAAATCTCACTGGTATAAGCAATTACAGAATGATGAACCACACATTTGTCAAAAAAAGGCATATAAAAGAAGAGAATAATGTTTATCAGGTTGTGCTATACATCAAGTGGTCAGGCTGAAAATGCAGGCTGGTACAAAAGCACCCTATACATGAAACCAGTCTATATATTCAAAGTTTAGTTTTGCAAGTGTTGACAAAAAATGTTTTCTTTTCTATTAATTATTTCATTTTAGCTCATTTTATTATTTTATTTTTTCTAAAATTAGTATAAACTTGCTAGACAATTGCCTGTGGTGTACTTCAGGGAAGTCCTCCTATTAAACAGATATGACTGCCAGGGAGGCATTAATCTCCTCATGCAACATATAGTACATAGCCAAGGACATTCCCCTCCCTAATTCTTTTCCTCTGCCTCTCGTAGACACACGCGGCACATGAAACGACATCACACACACACGCGCACGCACACAGAGAGCGCGCTCACTTCCTGTAAAAATCAAATTCATATTTCTGAGGGCTGCCGATGACCTCACGGCAAATGAAGCGCGGGTCTTCAGCTCCACAGCGGCAATCAAACATGCAGCAGAGTAATTACAAAAGAGGGGTAGGAGGGAGAATTGATGTGGTTTGTCAATTAATGTTGCTGCAAGGTGTTTTTTCAAAAGGTTAACTTCTTCATATTGTCTGCATGTTAAATTAGGTCAATATTGGTCCGGTGAAGAGTCGTCGTGTGCAGAAGGACAGTGGATTGAGCCATGGGAAGGAAAACACACACACACGCACACACACACAAGAAAAAAACAGCTCTGTTGTCAGAGATGGTATATAATGATTATTATGAAACCTCTTCCCAGCTTTGCATTGCTCTGCATCATTATTATCATATTTGTTTGCTTTGTCACTGCACATGTAAAACTCCATAAGTCCAGCTGGGAAGGTAAACTAATAAATGTTATGGAGTTGAAACCGTATGTGTCTAAACTGCATAGCTTTGGTTTCTACAAACAGTTAAGTGCATTCCCAGAACAGGGAGAGAGAGAGAGAGAGAGGAGGAAAAAAAAGCACAGCTGAAATTGCAGAAAAAAAAGTGTTTTTATTTATACAAGTCGCTGGAGATGCTCATCATCAGCGTTTTTTCCGAGCCATAAATAATTTGCAGAGAGAGGTAATATTCAAGCTGGCAGAGCCTTAGTTGTGCATCTTTAATGGAAGTTTTACAGAAGCTGAGCCAGTTCTTGCATATGCTGCTGCCTCCCATATGGAGGAAAGGAGACAAAAGGAGCACAGTTGGCTTGTCCTATCTTTTTATAAGTCCATCGACACTTAAATGTTAGCCCCGGAGAAAAAACGACACAGGGGGACATAAACCCACTGTGGTTTTAGGAGGGAAGATAATGACTTTGCCTGCATTAATTTCTTCATCAGCCATCTTGTTTCTCCAGACAGAGTGGTTATGAGTCCTTCTCTGAAGGTCCTAGGTTATATAGATGCATTTCCCTGCATAATTTTGGCCCTAACAGTTGTTGTCAGCAGTGCGTTTTGTGAGTCGGCAGCTGTGGAACATCTGTTTATAGGTAATGAGTGTTTGAAAAGCTACACCTCACTTTACCTTTAATGTCTTTTATTGGAGCACACTGATGGGAACGTAGCTTTAACTTTTTCTATTGTTGTGATTCAGCGAGAAGATTCCTTCAACATGGTCCATATTACAGACACCTGCCTTGGGCAACAAACTGAACGAGAGCATATGATGGATCATTAATATTAACTTTCTTTAAACAGAATTCAATATGCAAGTCAATAAAGACTTGAGCATCAGTTAATTTTTACGACACACCCACGATTTCAGCTTTCCTCCGTTTGGTCCAACGTGTCACCGAGGACGGAAACAGAGGAAAGAAAAGAACGCAGCTGTTTCAACAGTAGCTGAATAAACAACAGAAATAGGTTCGTTTCTCGTGACTCTCGCTCAGACGTTCATTTTACAGCAAATCAAACAGTACACACCTAACTGTTTTGCTCCTTCCAAACGGTGTCTTACAGTGTCTATAGCTCAGGGCACTTCTTCTGGGACTTGCTTTTTAAAATGTGCATTTAGGCAAATCTTGGGTGTATATGTGTTGCATTATGCAACGCTACAGGCCCCTCGAGCTGTGGTCATGTTAGGCTAAGGGCAGAACAAGTCCTCCAGGGCACCGATGTCCAGGACGCTGCCTGAAAAAACAAAGGTTTTTAAAGGAGGCATCAGTCAATATTTCCACAGTAAATGGAAACAGACACCTTGAGTAGTAAGATTAGCTTTTAAGCTAACTGAGGCGGAGAATCGAGTACTGTCAGTACACAGTGCTTTCGTGGCTGGTTGTGAAAATTTCACAAATAAAGAATCCATGCAACTGTAGTGTAACCACATCATCACATCTCAAAACATGTTTTTTACATAAAGAAAGGAAAATTATATATATATATATATATAGTCCTTTGTGCTGTTCTCATCTCTCAGCAGCAGTCACCTTACATTTGAAAGCCATTTTGTATATAGGACCCGGCTGCAGTGTGTATATCACTGCCAGAATTACATAAAGCACTAATAAAATCAGCTCAAGTGTTCTTCCAAGTGCTGGGGATGCCCTTTGGAGATTCTTAGATCTTGCCCTATACATAAAACCAGTCTATATATCCAGGGGATTAGTTTTGCATGTGTAAAGAGGGGATCTGTTCTGAAAAGCAAAAGGAAGCGACAAAGTACTCTATTGGCGACTCCGCACATCGGCACTATCATACCCACCACTGGCGGGTGAAAGAGGATGCCATCAGCATGTCTTGCTGCTGGGGGTCCTTTGCCTGTGAAGTTGCAAGGAACAGACAGCAATACCCACGGGACATTGTGTGTGTGTGTGTGTGTGTGTGTGTGTGTGTGTGTGTGTGTGTGTGTGTGTAAGAGAGAGAGAAAAGGGATCAACAGAAAGATTATGAACAGCATGTGTCTGTGTGTGCACGTGTGTGTGTCTGTGCATGAGTGCAAGCCTGTTTTCCTGTTTTCCTGTTTTTCTGTGACACCTATCTTTCACTTACGGTGGCTTCTCTGACACTTCCTGCACTGTTTAAAGAATAGCATGTTGCCAGGTTGGGAATGAATTCTGTTTCTCTGACTGAGCTAAGGCTGTGTCTGCCAAGGTTATTGGTGTAGTAAATTTGTGTGTTTATGCGAAGGGAGAGCGCTGAAGGTTTTGTGTGAACACTATAACTTATTTTTTTCACACACAGAAAGGATCCGTGAGTCGGTGTGTGTGCGCGGTTTTGTTGTTTGAAAAATCCTCCCAGATGTCTCATCTGCTATGCACAGGTCTAGAGGCTACGCACACACAAACAGACAGACAGTGTGACACCAGTAATAGATATACCATGCCATGTGTTTATTCACATAAGCGCTCCATCATTCAAATTATGATTGAGAGCTATTAGCGCACAACAGAGCCTCAGAGCTAATTGTTAGTGCGTATGACACCCTCTATCCTCACTCTGTTGACATTCAAAATATTAATTTTGTTGGGACGATCCAGGTTGTGAGGGGAGTGACAGAATGATTGAGGAAAGGAAAACATTCTTGCCACAGCAGCAGTCGTTAGGAAGTCCTACTTTTAATTAGGCAACAAGCTATGAATCAGCCGGTTACTCTGGCTGATTCTCTTACAAGTGCTTAGAGGACAGCAATCAATATTTTCCAATGTCACCGTGAGTCGTGACTTAAACCGATGTCCGGGACTTTATACAGAGCAGACCTTTGCACTCCAAAAATTCTAAATGATTGTTACCCACACACACGGAGACAGAGGAAATTGTTTTGTTGGCTAAATTCCGGCTTGTAGTTACGCTCACACGTTGAACTCAGTCACGATTTGTTTCTCAGGGCAAATCCTGTCATTTTCTGTTTGAAAAGAAGAAAGAATTTCAAATCTGCTTTAGCCCAAGGATAACAAAAAAAAGAATCGTAGTTATTCACCCTTTCAGGCCACAGAGCTGTACTGTTGCCTCTCATTGTGCTGAAAGTAGAATAAAGAAATAGTTGCTGCATCCACTTCTGTCCTTTCCCATTCTTACTCTATTCAGAGGGAATAAACCAAGTGATGCAAGGGCCAGTGAAACAATCACACCCTCTGTCTTCTTCTTGCTCTCTCTTGCCCTCTTCCTTTAATTTCAACGTCAGTAAGTATTAAAAGAAAGAGTGAGGGAATGAGATAAAACAAACTAAAATGGTCTCAAACGGAATACATATACAGATGAGTTTTATTAATATGATCTACATTAACAGATTTCTTTTAGTCTCTTTTAGTATGACGTAAATCCCAGCAACTCCACATCAAATCGAACACCCGTTGTCATGACGCCTTGTGAATAGGGGAGCAGCCAAAGGTAGCTTTTTGTTTATTTACTGCTGATCTGAATGTAGATGAAGCAAAAAGCTTCAATTTTCAGGGAAGACACTACTCTGTTTTTTTTTAAATGATACAATTGTCTCATGTTTTGTCATTTGTACACCATCTGAAATTCTATCGCATTAGACCTTTAATTTGAATTGAAGTAAATCTTTGAAAAAACAGGACAGAGCAACAGAAGAGGGAGCCCTGTTTCAGGTTTTAAAGGCATATAAATTCAGCTCCAGTATAGATCACTATACAGTTTCATTTTGGAGCAACACAGGAAGCAACGTCTTCCAACAACAGTCTTTTTTCCTTCTTGTTTCACATTTGCATAAATTGGAGACATGCAAATAAATTAAGACTTCAGTATCATCTCCGTTGATAACTCACCTCTATGATGGCTCCATCTGACTGTCGAAGAAAGTGCCTGTATATTTGTTTAAGCCCGCTGAGGTGCAGTGTGTAGACTGCCACGTGGGTGCTGGTCTCACCCTCTGGCATGTGCGCGCCGTCCCTATGGGACTCATCGCTGGGCGCTGCAGAGTCTGACACGGGGTCCTCCGTTGTTAAGATATAGTCATACACGGCCACCTTTGAGAGGGAGATAAGAACATATAGGCCAGCTAACAGCAGGAACACATGAGAAGATATAAAAAAATAAAACAAATATGAACGCCGTTGTGTTAAACAGGAGCTAACAGAGTGCATGAGTACCACGTGGCATGTAAAGAGACCAGTTGTTTCTCTGTGTGTCCATATGCACATATTAGGGATTACACACCTGTAATGTGCTGCCCTTCCCTATTAGGGTGAGGCATGGGGAGCAAGCGGCGCGTGTAACATGTTATGTAGGTCATGTAACTTGAAGTCATCCATGTGTGAAGATCATGGAAGCTCTCTTCCTCTCCCAGAGTGTCTGCTGGTAAAGTCTTGAACGTGTAATGGTCACAGATTGTATACGTCACTTCAACTGAAAGACCAGGTAGTAAAGCCATGAGCACCGCCCATCTAAATCTGGCTCACAGAGAGTCTTTAAATCAACTTTTTTCTTTCATATTCATAAACTGCGACTGTGACATTGCTGAATCGGTGACGCACTCTTTCTCTGCCTGTGTGTACGTGGCTGTACTTAAAGACATAATTTCAAGTCTAGCTCACAGCTACCGGCCCAAAACAGTGAACATTACACGCACGTAAACTGAGCCACACACAGAGAGTCAAAAGAAGGAGGAAGTTTTTCAAGGTGACCCTCTAATTGGCGGCATAATTATGATTCGTCTAAAAATACGGGGGAAAAGGCAAACTCATTCAGAGGGCCGTGAGTGGCAGGGTCAAGCTGAAGGAGAAGTTTAATTTGGCGGTGTATCGATGTCACCTCAGACTTGGAAACGGTTAGCCAAACACAACTCTAGGCGCTTCACTGAGAAAACAGTGGGAGCTATTACCCCTCTTGTAATTAGAAGCCTAGTATAAACTGCAAAGCACACGATCCAAAGAGTGGAAAAAGACCTCAGAGTCGAAATGTCAACAGGTTACGAGTGCAGAAAATAAGACTAGCTAAAAACACTCAAAGAAGATGTGTGTGTGTATTGGGTGTGTATGCTAGGTTGGATCTCTTCGATGCTAATTCAGATGCTCATTTGTGGAATCCCCTCAGCTGCCTTGCCTCCAGCCTGGCTTCGGCCCACACGAGAGGGAAACTGATTACCTGGATTTCTTTTGTGTTTAGCGCCCCTGCAAGGCAACAATCAGTCTGTTTCGATAGGATGTTTACATCGATGTTGATATTCAGATTTTTATTGTTTTCATCTCTCTCTGAGTAAAAGCTACGTAGATCTCTTCCAATACCGTGGTTCTCAGCGAGGTCAGACTGCATTTTTAAGGTCATTCATTAGTCTTAAAAAACGACTAAGAAAGCATCTTTTCCTCCTTTACTGGCCACAGGAAGTGTGCCTATGACTCAATTATGGCCCCTTTCCAGGACGTTTTAATCCAAGCTGTACAGTGGCGATAGAAACACCATGAATTCTGCCTCTGTGCTCTCAGTCACTTTGGTTAAACGCACCTGCTTGAATTCCCCCGGTATGGTGTGCTGCATGTCTGCATTTTGGCTTGCATGAAAATGGATTTTTATTTATTTTTTTAAATGTTTGCCATGCCACCATCCTATGCTAATTAGCACGTGAAATCCAGTTGACAAGACGAGACAAAAGCTTGAAAAGGTGTTTGTGTGTTCGGTTTGGGTGATGCCATTTCATGCAATGCACCATGGCTCTCAAGAAGCATCATTGCTAAGACACAAAAAGGAAAGAGCATTAGAGGGCCTGTCTGCTCGACACTACTCTGTTCTGGTCTGTTGTGTTGTGTTATGGTGCTAGCCTGGCTTCTAGCCCTAGCTTGAGTGCTCTCTCCACTCCACCATTGTTCCATTTGATAGCACTAAGTGACTGATTTAGGTTCAATGCCTGCATGGAGCAGACAGGCCAGCTGTGGGTTAAGCAGATAGCATTCAAGTGAGCTAACCCAATTCAAACCCAATCAAGCCAGGATTTATCGTTGGGGTCTGTATTTAGAAATCTGATAGAGTCTGCATCAGTCCCTTGACTTGTATCAGGAGAGATGGGCCTTATTTCTTTTAGCGGAGGACTATAAACGGCAAACCATGTTTTCCAGCAGGGACATAAATTTCAGGATTTGTAGACATTACCGCAAATGCACATTGGGAATGGGAGGGAGGAGCAGGGGCACAGGAAGTGGGGATGGCACAGCTGCAGACGTGGCTCCATGGTTCGCAAATATAGTCTGTCTGTCTTTCTGGGAGAAGATGTGATTTCACACCTAGCGAATCATACCATACCACATATGAATGCAGAAGAAAAGCCATCAGTCTTTAAATACAAGCGCCTGTGGAAAGGTTCTCTTTAAAAAAAAAATCCAGTGTGACTTGTGATAAAATTTGACTGACCTGACAGTCATTTTTATTCAAGTGCGTGTGCAAATATAAAGTCTAGCAACAGATGGATTTGGATTACCCGTCACTGACAGCATGACGCTTTGTTGCTTTTTTAGTCTGAGGGCAAACAAAATAAAAAATAAACTGCGATCGGAGGCATCTATGGCTCAGAGATAAAAGTATAAATGCACTTCATTCTAAAAGGGTATTCTTTTGTGTTATATTTTAAGAGCGACCCATATTTATACCTAAAATAGGACTTGAACTTGCAAATAACAGCTAAAAAGAGGGCAGACGGAGAGACGCAGTTCCACTGGGTGACACATTTCTCTGCTAATGCGTGTCTGGGAAAGGTACAGTGTATTTTATTTGTTTGTCTTACATGGCCTTCCCCATCATACACATATACATGTGACATCTTGCTCCATTTTGTGGCATGACACATGTAAACACCATGTCTAGATTTGATTGTTATGAGAAAAAAAAAAAGCTGTCATGTCGCTCCTGACAATCAAAACAGTTCCCAAATGTAACCCTGTAACCTTGTAATGAACTGATCAAAACACTGTGTCAGAGCAGGGACTAATCACGGGGCCTCAAGAGCAAGTTAAAAATCTCCCACGAATGTAGAAATCCACTATTTTGCGAGTGCGTTAATTACATGTATTAGATATTAAAATCTTATTTTTAAAATGATGGGTTTACTATACTAAACCGCACAAACTTGTTTATACTTATACTGTATGATGCACTTGTGCAGCCAGAGTGTGTGTGTATGTTTGCAACTAAAGGGAGGAGGAAAGGAGAAGTTTCAATGAGCACACAAGCTGAGCCGGGCTGGCTACTGTCCAGAACAGGAGCCTAAGGCATGGGCACAAACAGGCTTGTCAGTCCCCCTGATCCCTTAATGATTGATCCAAACTAGATAGCCATCATTACCATTCATGCACTCTCTCTTCTCTAGACCTTCCTACCTTCGCCTAATTTTACCTCCCATTTGCACGTTTCCATGGACTAATTAAACATTTCCCTCCTCTCTTGCTCTCTCTGTCTCCCTACCTCTTTCTGTCTCACTCTGTGTCCAGTGGTATGAAAAATAATGCAGCACATTTTTGGCACGTTATTATGTATGAAATGTGAGGGGCATAATGTATTCCAGCCGGTTGGAGTTCTCTTAGGCTCGTCTTGCTTGCATCGCCTTGCTTTACAGCCAGTGTGAATTCTATACCTCCCATTTCTGCTTCCCTTCTTAAAAGCTGCTGACCTTGCCTCCGTCCCGCCCGTCACCAACTCACGCCTACTCCGTAAGGGCTGGGGTTTTCTTCACTGCCGTGATCCTTTTGGTTTGTAGTTCTGTCCCACTTGGCTTTAATTTACAGTGGGGAAAATAATTAGAATCTCACTTTTGCAAAGAATGGAGTGAAAATGTAAACAATGCTTCCCTGCGGGTGGGTGCTTCATCACTTTGACAGGTGCATTTGAATTTGCCTGGGTGGCGGACAGGCTTGGTTATTTATGTGTCAGTCGCACATGGAAGCCCCGGCTGCGGCTGCAGTTGGGACTCAGACTAGGGACGAGATTGAAACTCAGTGGAGAGGGTGATACGGGGTTTGGATTTTGGGAGACTACAGAGGATGTTGCTGGTTCTGGACCCGGTGCTCAGAACGGTGCTGTGGCTCCTGGCATTTTTGCACACCTTGCCAACCAAAGCAGTTACAGCACCGGTGCCCAACCTAGCACCGCTTCCATGAACTGTCACCACAAAAAGACTGCTGCCCAGCAATTCTGTTTGCATCCAACAAGTTTGATCCAAAGTCAGATCCACGGTCGTCAGTGGTTTGGGGATTACTGTAAGAAATTCATCAAAGAGTTGCAGATTCAGTCTGCAGATTCCACCCACCGAGATTTTTTTTTTACCATGTAAATTACCTCAAAAATATGCTGTCTAATATTTGTAATATTTGATTCTAGACCTACTGCTTCTTATAAGGTAGAAAGGCAGCACCAGCACTGGCACCAAATCAGTGGGAAAGAAGTGTAGAAGAGAGGAAAGAAACATGGGAGTGAATCTGGATATATGGAGGAGATTTAAGGCTATAGCGGTAAGAGACCCAGTAATGGGGAGAGTAGTAGGACCTATGTTGGATTAAAGAGACTGATGTATGTCTGGGACTGTGTGTATGGATTACTGCTTTAATTTGCCCTACAGAGGTTTAGAAATAAAAAATAGAAGTCTGTGTACAGACTTGGTTTTGGGGTATCCTTAGCAAGTTACTTGGAGATTCTTACATGAGGAATATTTTGAGCACAAAGAAAGCTTTATGGAGTCACCTGGTTTTTAGCAGTCTTTCTGTAAATACATTTTACGCCGTGAACCAGATCAGAGTCATGTTAGCTGGAAATGCTGAACTGTGACGTGATCCAAAAGGAAACATTTTAAGTGTTTCAGCAGATCCAGTGAAGCTTCATCTGGATCACTGCATTGCATTAAGTTTACGAAGTAGACTCTGTGTCATAGATAGATTATTTAGTGGTATTGAACATAGGTACTTAAAACACATTAAAGAAATATTTTGTTTTCACATTTTCACTGTACATTGAATTAGAGCTCATTGGTATTATCATTTAATACAAATTC